ATTCCACTTCAAACATATAAATACAAACACTCACCTTATAATTTTTTCAAAGAAACAAGGTGTTGCAGAGATAATAACAAATTCCAAAATTTTTCCGAAGAAGTCTATTTGACCAGGTAATCCAAAACATTGCTAGATGACTTCCTATTGTTTGGCAGTAAGCTATTGTTACCAATCAATATGAAGAAAAACTTTCAAATTCTTATTTTTAATCAATATGTATGAAATATTCCTTCACTGGTTGGTTTACCCTATATGAGAACAAAGATCATCATTTTAAATTGTGCCTTAATGTGGCTTAGTAAAAATGTGACTGAAAAATAACGTATTTTTATAATATTTTCTACTAATAAAAAAAAAATTATATGGTACTCATTTAAACATTGTTAATAGTTAATGGTTCTGAACATTAAAGATTCTTTAGTTCAGTAAAAAAAGGAGTTAGAATGAGTTATGAATGTCTGATATTACTTAGTAAAATGATGCGTTATAAATACAAAATAATTTTATACTTTCATTTTTTCAACCGTGTTAATCTTAGTTTTAAGGCCTAATTGTAATTATTTTTATGTTAAGTGAAAAAAAAGGTTGAATGAATTTTTATATTGAATAGTATTAGATTTTAAAAATGTAGAAAAACTCAAGTTATTGATTTTTTTAATTTATTTATTCTAGCTTGAATTTAATGCAGGGAATTATCGTCAGCATAGCAGTAACCTTTTTAAAAAATTGTGATCCCAGCAAAACTTTTAATTCATTCTTTATAAAAGATTTAGTCAAATGAAAAAAAAGAAGAAATTAATATATAATAGTAAATTTTATTAACTTTATTTCATTTGCGTTAATATATTTTATAATAGTATTGATTTCAAGCATATGCATTTATTTAGTTTCACATTAGAGAAACAGGAATTAAATTTTATAAATACATATAAAAATAATTTTTCACCATAGTCAAATTTCAATTTACTCAAAGAATATAAATATCAGCAAATGATGCTATCATTACTATATATTTAATTATTTAATAAATAATAAAGAATGTGAATTAGAATTTTTTTCATTTTGCATGAGTTTTTTTTTTTTTTTTTTTTTTTTTTTTTTTTTTTTTTTTTTTNCATAAGTTTTTTTTAATTCTTTAGCTTTAGTGAAACAAGCGTCTAGCTTAAGATATTCGCCGAAATTATGTAACTAAATTAAATTACATTAATTGAAATTTTAAGTATAAGCATATAGGTTGTGGCGATTATGATGGGCAGATATATTTCAATGTACTAGATTCTTGAAAGTGTTGATTTGTTTTCGGCGACATCGATAGCTTAACCAGACACTTTTCCCCCTATTTTAATAAAAAACATTTCATTAAAAATGTATCATGCATTAATTTTACTATTTTAGAATTCTTCTTTGCAGGCACTAGGTTGGCAGAAATAAGGAGAAAAATTAACAATAACCATATATGGTAAATATTGCTGAAAGAGGAATCAAAATTTAACAGTAAAAATAATTTTTCTAGCTATAGCGAAATTCCTATTTACTCAAAGAATAATATTGAGAATAGATATTCGCATTAATGTTTACTTAAATATTGAATAAATAGTAAAAAAAGAAGAAATAAACTGTATTGATAAATATTTACGTAAGAAAATCCTTTTACTCTAGTAAAAATAAAACAGGCAAAAATTAAATATTATCCAAATATTTAGCACATAGATCGTAACTATGACGGATAGATATTTTTCAATGAACTTGATTTATGAAAACACTGATTTCTTTAACGCAATACCGAATAATAAAATCATCCACCCTTTATCTAAATGTATATACTATTTTTAATTTCCATCCAATCTGCGATTGATTTTGATTAAGTAATTAGGTTGCAATTGAGCATATTACTTTCCCTTAAAAATAATTGTAATAAAAAGTATTTTTTATGAACCTGAACACCACTGATTTTAACCGAAAAGAATGCTGTGAAGAGCTACATGATCATTTCTTCAGCTATTTTAGGGATAAATAAACAGTTTGAAGTTTCAAAAATCTTAACATACTCTAAATATTTAGCACATACTCTAAAAGCTGCAACTTTAATTAACAAAAATTTTATCTATACATAATAATAAAAGCGGCTGTGTGTGTGTGTGTGTGTGTGTGTGTAATCACAGGGGATAAAATTGCCTCCTTCACCCTTTATTCGAATTTCAGGACGCTAGCATAAACTGTTAAGAGTTATAAGAGAGACACATGGGCAGAAAGAGGACACTCTTCAATTTGTCAATTTGTTATATATGTCAAACATTTGTGGGAATAAAAAATAAATAAGGAAAAATTACAATATACATTTGTTGAATCGAAAAAATATTAAGACTAGCATTATTACTTCTCTCACAGTAATGATACCATTGCATTACAGTTAAACATAGTTCATTACTAACAAAATATGAAATGAAAGCTTGCCCTTAATTCCGACATTAGTTGAAAATATACACCATTTTATCCCGTCTATGTATTCTGTATTCTATTCACTTTGCACTGATTAAACAAATATTTTTATCACTTATTTTTCATGAATAAAACCAGTCAATTATCAAATTCTATTGAAAATCTGAGTAGTTTTTTTTTCTTCATATAACATGCACAATGTTCGGTATGGATTATTATTATTATAATACTCATTAGGATACAGAGCACCTTAAATACATAAATGTGACTTTTATAGACTTTTTTAAGAGTTCTGGATCAAGATATTAAACTTAAAGTTAAATAACAGGCCTGAAATGTTTCATTATCAAAAAAATGATAAAAAAAATGTTTAATATTTAATTTTCTGTTTAACTATCATATTTGAGTTTATCTTTGTGCTAGAGTAAATGACACATAAAACAAAGAAATTAGCATGAAGCAAAGTATCTTTTTTATTACTCTACGTACATGAAACATAGTTTTGAAACATAGAATAAGTCATTAATAGCTTAACACAACCAACAAGAATATAGTTATTTTTAGGAATATGCTTTCTTTTTTGATATAATGAAAAAATAGTTTGCAGCAGTATGGGAAATGTTTTAAAAATGAATATTTAAGTTTCAAGAAAGTTCAAAATTCAACTTTTCGAATCTAACTTTTTCAGATTTCAGGAATATTATTACATGATTTTCTGGTTCTGTTTATCTTTTAGAAAATGAAATAAAGTTTTCGCTGTTGCAAAATTGTCTGACATGTGTGTGTCATTTAATTTTTTTAAAATGGATTTGAGAGTCCCTTGCGTGCTACATAATATTTTTACTTAGATTACAAAGACAACTTATGGAATCTCTTTAAATAATATTATTAAAATAGTATTTGAAAATNCTATATAATTTCAAACATCCTCAAGAGCTATAACACATCTGCAGCAGAACTGGATATGAAGACAAAATTGCTGGACAGGAACACTTTAATTGTCCACTAATCTTCAGATTTCCTGCCATGTTTTAAAAAACTTTATTTGTGAAAACCTTCAGCGTGGCGGACAGCTGGCCGCCTTAGGCGGCTAGTTAATAATATACAAAAGATATTCATACGAGAGTAATGTCAAAATTAAAAAAGCATTGAAATAGCTTTAGCTGATGGAGGAGGCATGTTTCCATTCAGCACGTACGACGTCATAACCAATCAGGGATCGTTTCTAAATGCATCATCTTTGGTGGCTTTTTTGGGCAATTTAAATACACATTTGAGGAAAAAACGATAAGATTTTCGAATTCAGGAGAGAATTTCAATAGGCTGGATTGGAATTTATAAGAATTAAGAGATGCTGTAATTGTCCATTGTGAACAAGCATTTTTCAATTCACTTAAAATGTTATACACAAAAAAGAAAAAAAGCAAGGAGTCCAAACTTTCAACTGCTCTACTGACCAAACTATTGGGACCACATTTCCCTGATTGAGGCTACTTCCTACATTTTTAATTCACAAATACAAATTCGTCATGAAAAAAGGTATGTTTATTTATATCATCTACACAAATTAATTAGCATATTTGAAGTCCCACTTTGCACCATTAATAAGATTGAACTTAGAACGTAAAAATCATATCATCAGATCAAAAGCTATTCTGAGTAGTCAGTTTATTTTTTATGCATTGCATAATTTTCAACTGACCTTCTTAATTTTAATTCTTCTGATAGTTTTTGTGATGCAAAACAAAATGTAACTTAAAGTTGAACATAAGAAACAGCAGTAGTGATGATGATGATTCTTTAATATAACGACTAAAAATTCAAGTAAAGGTTCGAAAAATTTTAATCTTGCTGCTGTTTTTTCATTTATATATTTATTTATTTCATTTTTTAAACCTTGTATATAAAAGTGTTATTCTGGGGGCAAAGAATAGGAAGCTCAGCGATCTTCATTTATTACTTTCCAGAAATGAATAGTTATGCGGAAAATGTTTATATAGACGCTATGTAGATACTGATTATATCGATCATTATATATAATGATCGATTTTTACCTAATTAAAAGATAATTTTTGATATAGTTGAATGAACCAAATAATCACTGACTAACGAATTAAATAAATCAGTAAGTAAATAAACAATAAATGCTTTTTAAACAAATTTTTCGTGAGACGGGGAAAATGACCAACATGTCTTTTAATATTAATATTCTATAGCTGTTTTAAATTATTTTAGCAGTGCATGAACTACAAATTTTACAGGACCCTGGAACGATTGTCCATCTTCTCCCACTTGAGTACGGACTCATATGTTATAATTTATATTCTATGTAATTTATTAAATACACATTATATATAAATAAATTTCTCAGACAGTCTCAAATCCCGACCAAAAAACAGATGCTACTTGAAGGATCAAACTTGGCGCAAAAACAGCATTGGCGCTCCTCAATGCTGATGCAGATTCCTAGGGTTAACGTGATAAAAAAACAGAGGCAGCTGAGCTAATCACTAAGAAAGACTTAGTGGCATAGTGTATGCATTCTATTGGTGGGCAGAACAAGAAAGTGTTAAACGTTCTAGGAATAGCCGGAAACGGAAATCGAAAACAATAACAAACAATCTGAGAAACTTATTATTTTTATGTTTGTGCTCTTGGCATAATGAACCAATAATTTGCTCTGTTTGAATGATTCTTAATATGTGATTTTGTTTCCTGACTGATGCTAACATTCGTTGAATAAAGGATTTCTAGGTGTGATTTCCGTAACGGTACGGCAATATTCCTGATTACTAAGGGAGTCAATAAAATTTTGAGTTAATCCCTTGCATTTCGCCATGCTGAAACCAAGAAAGTTTGAATTATGTTTATTCCTGTATAAAAATGTTTAATTTTAAAGTAATTTTTTAAAAAAATTTTTTTTATATTTTCTATCAATCGAGCAAAAATACGTTCATACAGAACACTACTCTATGCGGAGTAACAAAGAGAGTGCAATCAAATTTTATCATAGAGAGAAATTAAAAAAATATATATATATCTTCACTGAAATAAAGTTGGGATAAAATTTCAACATGTGTGATAAAACTTTCTCATCGAAATCTCAGTTAACGGTACACTGTGGTGCTCATACTCAAGAGAAACCTTATTCATGCAGTGTGTGTAAAAAATCTTTCACACAAAGATCTTCTTTAAAAAAACATTCTCTTGCTTATACTAGACAGAAACCGTATACATGCAGTGTGTGTCACAAATCTTTCACACATAAATGTTATTTAAATCAACACTCTCTTGTTCATACTGGAGAGAAACTTTATTCATGTAGTGTGTGTGATCAGTCATTCACTCATAAATCTAGTTTATATAGGCATGCCCTTGTTCATACTAGAGAGAAGCCTTATTCATGCAGTGAGTGTGATAAAACTTTCTCATTGAAATCTCAGTTAAAGACGCACTCTGTTGTTCATACTGGGGAGAAGCCTTATTCATGCAGTGTGTGCAATAAAAATTTCTCGCATATATCTTCATTAAAGAAACACTCTTTTGTTCATACTGGACAGAAACCCTATTCATGCAGTGTGTGTAATCAATCTTTTACACAGAAAAGTAATTTAAATCAACACTCTCTTGTTCATACTGGAGAGAAACTTTATTCGTGTAGTGTGTGTAATCTGTCATTCACACATAAATATAGCTTGTATAGACATTCCCTAGTTCATACTGGTGAGAAACCTTATTCATGCAGTGTGTGCAATAAAACTTTCTCATTGAAGTCTTATTTAAAGATACACTGTGTTATTCATACTGGAGAGAAACCCTATTCGTGCAGTGTGTGCAATAAATTTTTCAGGCATAAATCTTCATTAAAAAACCATTCTCTTGTTCACACTGGGCAGAAACCCTATTCATGTAGTGTGTGTAATCAATCTTTTGCACAGAAATATAACTTAAATCAACACTCTCTTCTTCATATTGGAGAAAAACTTCATTCATGTAGTGTGTGTGATCAATCGTTTACACAGCAACCAAGTTTATCTAGACATTTCCTTGTTCATACAGGAGAGAAAACCTTATTCATGCAGCATTTGCGATAAAACTTTCTCATTCAAATTTCAGTTAAAGATACACTCTGTTGTTCATACTCGAGAGAAACCTTATTCATGCAGCCTGTGTGTTAAAAGTTTCTCATCCAAATCTCATTTAAAGGTACACTACGTTGTTCATACTAGTGAGAAAACTTAGTCATGCTGTGTTTGCGATAAAATATTTGAGCATTGAAATTTCAGTTAAAGATACACTCTGTTGTTCATACTTGGAGAAACTTTATTCATGCTGCCTGTGCGTAATAAATCTTTCTCGCATAAATTTAGTTTAAAGAAACAATCTTATTAATATTGGAGAGAAAGCGTATTCATGCAGTTTCTGAAATAAATTCTTCACACAGAAATTTAATTTATCTAAACATTCTCAACAAGTTCATTTGGGAAAGAAAACTTATTCATTCACTGTGTGTGATCAGTCTTTCGCACAGAAATATAATTTAAATAAACAATATTTTCTTCATTTTGAGAAAAACTTTAGTCTTGTGTGATACTTCTTTCTGATTCAAATATATAGTTGAATAAACATTCTGTTGTTCTGACATATTGGAGATTATACTTATATGTGCAGCTTCTCATTAAAATTTCAGTATATGATACACTGATATTCTTACTTAGAGAAACCTTATTCATACAGTTTGTGTAATAAATCTTTCTCACGTAAATCTTATTTAAAGAAAATTTCTCTTGTTCATACAATATATGTGATCAATATTTTACATAGAATTTTTTTTCAATTGAAATGCTGTTATTCAAATTGGAAAAAAACTTTGTTCATGCATTTTTTTTTTTTATTAATTTGAATTTTTCTTTATAATTTTTTGAAATTTTCTTTAATTGCTTATTATAAATTTTTACAAAGTATTATTGTGTAATTTGTAAGTAAATCGGCATAAATTTTTTAAGTACATAAACTTTTTTCTGCATAATGTTTTAAAAACTTCCATTTGAAAATTTTTTTTTTTAACATTTTAATAGGAAACTCATTTTACAGTGTTTTTTGGAACTCTTTTGCCAAGAAAAATAAAGCCATAGTTTAAGTGCCTTATACTTGAAGCAATCTGATGATTTTGAACTAGGTATATAATCTTGCCAGGATGAATTCTCTGAGCATTAGGACCAGGGTTGGGTTTTTGCCGTCAAAAACTGGTTTTTGACATGACAGTGGTAAAAACCGTGTTTTTACCGGTAAAAACTGTCAAAAACCTACTATTTTCTTTCATTTGTGTCATATAGCGGACAATATATTATTTTCACCTGATTGCCTTTGTAAATGATAAAATAAATTAATGTTCTATTGATTTTGCAACTATATACATGTATATGTTCTTATAGAAGGATATGCATTCATATAGAAATATTGTAATATACTTATTGAAAATAGTGATGCATATTTTTATCATTATAGCTTGATTTGCAAAGGATTCAAAATTTTGCTCTTCTTAATTGTTAGAAATAGGCAAACAAACAAAAAAGCTTGGAACAATTAATAAATTCAAGAACTGAAAAGAAGAATTTAAAATTTGGCATTTCTTAAATATTAGAAATAAGCTAAGCAAAACTTGTAGCTACTAACAAACTCTAAGTCAAGAATGACTTGACATTCTTCAGTAATGTATTATGCCAAACAAAATTATGCTTGGAAATGTTGAAAATTCTGTTTAGTATCTTAATATTTTACTTCAAATAGTATGTTTTGATCAGGGTTGGCAGGTTTTTGACATGTGACAGTTTTTGACAGTTTAAACCATGGTTTAAAACGTCACGTCAAAAACCTCACTGTCAAAAATGTCGAAAATGTCAAAAACCTATATTCATATGTGAAATTTAATTAATACATAAAATTTATATATTTTTTATAAAGGATAGTGTTTCTAAATATGTTCTAGAAAAAATAAATTTAAAATTTTGAAGAAACACTTATATTTTGAATAGTAACCAAAATCTTGTACTTTTGAAAACTCACATCTTTTGTAATATTATGTATTCATTTTCATGTGTTATTGAAAATCTGCAGTGATATTATTAAGAAATTTATTTATAACCAAATTTAGTGTATAGTATAGATTATACTAAAAATTAGACATTTTTAAAGATAAACATTAGCAGTTTTGTACATTAGACATCTTCTTTTAAAGAAAAATCTTTTTAATATTCTTTTAAATCTTCTTAATAATCTTTTTAACATAAGACAATACAAATTTAAGTGCTTTCTGTTAAATACACAGAGTAGTTAGTGTCGATTTACAGTATATTCAGCCTATTCATTTACTATGCTGAAAATTTAGTTTATCCAAATACTTGTGAATTTCATTTTGCTGAATACTATATAGTTTTGTTGAATATCTAAATATTCAGCTGTTGAATAATTACTTCTTGCTTTCAAGATATGCATTATTTGTATTCTTAATACAAGTGGAGAAAAAAAAATTAAGAGATAAAAATTGTTTTAAAATGATAAGTGTAATAATTATAAATAAATATAATAAACAATATGAATTATATTTATCATTATTCACAAATATAACTACTTTTAAATTCAAATTAACATACTGGATAATAAAGATATTCGGTATAACATTAAAATTTTTTTTCATACACTTGTATCAAGTTTGTATTTATACAACATAACTTGTAAGTTCCTTATAAATATTAGTTATATGTTCCTTATATGTCAAAAATGCATAGTAATAAACTTTTAATTTTCTTAAGTATCAAAAAGAAATTTTTTTTTTTTTAAAATATAAATATTTAAACAATTTTTGTGCAAAATTTTTCTGCACATGCATTTGAATATAAATTTCTGAGATTTTAAATCTGTTATTTTACCTTAATTTTAATTAAAAAATATTTTAAAACCTGCTGATTACCTATAGTATAATTAAATTTCAATATAATGCATGGCAACTGTTGGTAGTTTTGAAGTTTATATATTTTCTTGGCAAACTTCAGTTTTTGACATTTTTGACGGGTTTTTGACAGTTTAAACCAGTATTATACCCTTGTCATGTCAAAAACCACTTTTTGACGTCAAAAACCCAACCCTGGTTTTGATATAATCATGTTGGGAAAATGCAAGAATCTGTTCTTAAATATCTTTTAACAACTTTTTTTCTAATTTTATTGCCTAAAATCAATTAATTTTAAATTACAAGCAGTTAAACTCAAATAAAAATACAGTTTTGCTCAAACTATGAGTTTTTGACAGAGGGGTTTTTGACATGACGGTAAAAACCATGGTATAAACCGGTAAAAACCGTCATAAGTCAAAAACTTGCCAACCCTGATTAGAACAGACAAATAATTTAAATATCTTAAAAGTTATTAAAAAATTTTAAAAACTGACAATCTGGCGATATTTTTCCATGAAAATTATCAAAATCACTGCTTTATTCTCAGTTTTTGCAAATTTTTATGAGCCCAGGTAATGCAGCATTGGAGTAAGTTTTTAAATATTAAAACATTAGACTACAAACGTTTTTCATTTTCACAAAACTGTGGCTTTTCTCCATGTTGATGTTTTGCGACATTTTCAAAATAAACATAGACAACACAGGCTTTAGATAGGCTAAACTTGACCTAACAGTCATGAGTAGTAGTTGCAAACTCTCAGCAGTTATAAAAATAGCATATTATTCACAGAAAAAGCCCGCAGTGGACTGATCGTTAAGACACGGTTCCCAGCAGATCACCGAAGTCAAGCATCACTGGCTACGGTCAGTGTGCGGGTGGGTGACCACTTGGATCAGTCTGCATAGGGACCGAGGGTGTGCGATATTGGTCCTCGTTAAACTGTGCTACCGTTAAGTGCTCGACTCCGCGCGCAGGTCGTCGGGCTACCGAAGCGGGGGTGCCATCCCCTCCGCAGAGGATCAAAATTGTGATGGCATGTCTTCGGATCATCCTCCGGGATGTTTCCCAGACCGTCGCCAATAGCCCATTGTGCAGCTCTAGTGCGACGTAAATTAACAACAACAACAACAGAAAAGGCATCATTTTATATTATGCAAAGAATTCGATAAACAGCCTAAAGAAATATTTTCTTGTTCATATTGGATAAATGAGTGGATGTATTGTTAGTGGGTGTTCATATTTTATAAAAGGCGGGGAGAGTAACCTTATTCATGAAAAGATGAAACATTTTCATAGAAAATTCATTTGAAAGAATACTTTCTTGTTCATACTCGATAAATGAATTATTAATATAATGTATGTGAAAAATCTTTTGCACTCAATATGAGTTTAACTGTACATTATGTTGAATTAGTATTAGGAAAGTTTTTCACTCAGAAATCTAATTTAAGTAATCACAATCTTGTTGATTCAAGAGAGAAGCCTTGTGCGGTGATAAATCATAAAAATACAGTGTTAATGGTAATTGAGTTCTTCTTACTGAAGACAGTTATTAGTTGTACTCTGTTTAATGAATATTTTTCAAATAACAAGAGGAATGAAATTTGTAAAATAATCAGTTAAAAATAAATAAATAATAAAAATAGAAAAACAATTGATATGTAATCTTCGATTAGTTTTCTTTATAAGCCTAACTTTATACACTGTTATATAATTTGATAAATTTTTCGTGTAGTTTCAGACAAGAAAAAAAGAGCTTTTATCCTTCAAAAGAATATAACCATTTGTAGCTTTTGCAAAAATTATTAAATTTTTATTTTTAGCACGAGAATTGCATGTTTATTTTATTAATCTTTTAATGTTAATATCAAAAAAAATTATATCAACTTGAGTAAAGAAGCATTTTTTTCTTTGAAAATGTATGGCCAAAAAATCCACTTTTCTTTTGCAGTTTCAGTAATAGGATTCTATTCCTCTTAATGCAGGTCTAAAAATTAGAGCTACAAAAGCTGTGTAATTTCAATGCATTTTTGTTTTATTGTGGGAAAGCAGGAGAAAAATTGCTCCTTGTCAAAAAAAATTTCTTAATCATGACCTTGAAAAGTATTAGAATAAGTTGCTAGGCTGTGCAGGAAATAAGAAATGCAAAATAGAGGACCCATAATGTACATAAAAAAACAAGCAAAGAGCAATATTGGTAGTTGCTGCTACTGACCACTGACAAGAAGTGTATATTAGCTTAGTTTGAATATGATTTGAATTAAATTTTTATTTTATTAGCCGTGTTTAGGAATGGTACAAATTCATTAAATGACGTCAATTCAACAAATGAAGTACTGAATTTGAATACTGTTCCAGAGTTCTTCTTTTATGTTCCTCGGTTGAAATAAAATTTGTTAAGAAATTGAAGATGGAGTACTTCTTGGTTAGCTAGTAACTCGGTTACTTACCATGTCCTGAAATTATTTTTTTTCTAAAAATTCTAAATTTAATAATGAATTGACACTCCGGGAACTGTTCTTATCAGAAATTCTTAATTTTCTCTGAGCAGTAACTATTTTCTGTTTTGGAAAAAAAATCCATAATTTGCAAAAAATTTGTTTAGTGTTCCTTTCTTAAACCAGAAATACAGCAATTAACAATGAGCAGATAAATTATTATACTCATGAAACGAACAAAGTCCACCAATTAAAATTTTTCCTCACTTGCTGTAGAAATTAAAATGTTGAAAGAGTTTCATTTACCTTGGCTCAAAAAATCAATGATGATTGTTTAGTATTTCTGAAGACATTAATTTGACTATACGAAAAGGAAATA